TATGAGTATTATTGAAGGACAATCCAGTACCTTCTCAAGAAAGCGAGCAATTGGATTGAAGAAACTAGAAAGCAACGAAAGATACATTGAAGAAGCCAATTGATGATGTGAATCACACAAATCCATAATTAGGTATACATGCACGACCAATGTCGATAATGGACACATCTACCTAGCAACATGGTTTACATACTCCAATATCAAAAAAGAAATCTACCTACTTGTATGTTGTAAATATCGACACACAAACAATAATATCTACATATCCGATGCCCCAACAGATACTCTTGCAGAATAATTTTCTGCAATATGTTATACAGCTAACTCATAGATACCCATTATAGATAGGTATCTGCCACACAAAGTTATACAAGGAGTCGAAAAATTTCGAGAAACAATCATATAAACTTGATGAAAAAATTATACCACCACATCCAAGAGAATAGGCATATCATCCTATAGAATACAAGCATCAAATCAAACCAAAGACAGTCAATCATCTAGACTAACTTGACAGCACCACTACAAGAAATTTTACCCAGCAAGGAAACAAGTAAGGCTTTTTACCGGTAATCCTTGAGTAGCTGTTGTTGATGACCCGCATGAACCATATGAAGGGCTAAATCATGCAGCAGGGGCAATATCCTTGGGGGTATAAGTGTTGGAGGAGTATAAACTGCATTTTCCAAGTTACCATTATGATGATCTGCATGCGTGTGTGAAGGATTGTTACCACCAGAATCACCTTGATGCCCAGGTGACCCAGTTGATGGTCGCAACGAGCTTGGCAGACACTCGAAGAGACGGTCAGGCTCCACAGGTTTGCTGTAATGTCATGAAGAACTCGCATGAATATGGTTTATAGGAAGGGTCAATTCTTAACATAACACAAATCATAGCAAAAAACTTAAAAACACCTAAGTAACAAGGTGGATTAATAATTCAACAAAGCTGATATTTTCACCCATCAATGCAAGAACAAAAATTGTATACTGATCCCAAAAGCATAGATCATGCAGAAGATGGTGAAGCAATAAACAGAAGCTCAGAAAGGGGTCGGAAATGAAACAAGAAAAGCAGCTGGTCCTTTTGTAACAATTCATATTTCAGGACCATCACATCTAATGAAAGCAGCAAAAGACATTGTAAAGGGACAGGTGAAAATGATGTCAAGAGACCCATCCATGCTTCCTGGAGGCAATAGTTTAACAATAACCCAGCAAATGGAGAATTATCCATACAAACACAGTCGTTAAATAGTTTAGAATGGGGAAAGACAGTGCAAATAATTGAGTCAAATGAAGGTTTTTTAGGAAAGAGGAAACAAGTTTCACGGACAGAACTAGATGGCAAGGCAGAACACATGAACATAAAGGATGTCCGAGCATCAAAGTCAGCATCGATAAAAATGCATACGGACCTGTAACTTAATAAGATCTGCTTAAACTCCTCTTCCAGCTTTGAGATAGACTTAGCAAGCAGACTATTTGCATGATTGAGCACCTCATCAGTACTTTTAAAGCTTTTGTTACTGGTAAAAAATAGAAGGTTGTTTCTTAGTTGGTCGATTGCTGCCAGATAACTTTCAAGATCCTCATGTGGCCCTTTAAGAATTTTAGCCTCAGCCTGCCGGTATAATAATAGTAGTAAGAACAATAACAGATAAGACACAATCGAAAATCAACAAGAATTACAACAGAAAATAAAGTACTTATTCCACATAAGAATTATCGGGATTAGCCAAACTAAAAAAAAATGGCGATATTTTAGAAATGATCTGAATACATGCTAGGCGAAGGTACTTGATCTTGGTTTTGACCAATTCCTAACAATAGAAGGACCAAAAGGAACATAGCTACAGATAGAAAAGGGTATATCATCACCAAGGGTTATGATGAAGGACAACAAGCCCCAGAACAAAAAATAATTTTATAGGCTTCACACCCAAAGCTTCCTAAGCATCACATTTCAAAAGAAAAAATTGCATCACCCAATCCCAAAGCCAATACTTGCAAAATTCAAATAATCGTCAGCTCTATAGAAAAGAAAGAACTACAACGATATTTATGGACTCTCTAAGTTCTACCCCTAGTTGATATTGGAAACCCCTAAATGAATAAAATAATATGGAATAGAAAAACATAATATCCAACTTAAACAAACTTAACAAAATCATAATAAGAATCAAATCCTCAAAGATATAAGACTGCTAATTTATCTATGAGAAGAATCCTAATCCCTTAGGACTCTTGGTTGATTTGTGAAGTCCATCTTCACCAAAACTTGGTAGAAACATAAATCTTTGAACAAATAAATCTTGCATGATTTTGTTGGCTGCATCAGAAAGATTATTCATAGTCGTTGAATGACGACATGAATTATTCAATGGAAATATGCTGAACTGACTTGAACATTTTCCATTCAATGTTTGCAAACATATGAGCAAGAAGAAGGACAACCTCTCATCGAGTTGAGCTTACCAAGCAAAATTGAGCTTCCAAACAACAAGCTAAGCAGCATGAAAATAGCTAAACTCTGTATGGTGGCTATTTAAGGTTCTAAGTCTTACAAGTTGCAACATTAGTTCTTGAGCCTATTTCACTAACAAAGATTTCCCTAAGATGCACGAGAGCAGAAGGAAAGAATTTCAAGTGGCCCGAATAGAGTGCGCTCCATGTAAAAGACGTTTTTGATTCGATGCTAAACCAAACGAACCACTTCTCAACAACAGATTACAACAACAGAAGTGAATTTACAAACAGATAAAGTCTCGATCAGTTACTGATACAAACCTGGCGGAAAATATCAAATTGCGACAGAACCACCTCTGCAGCCTTTAAGGTCTTGTCGATATTCTCGTGAGCTTTCCTAATAGAATGTGTTCTGATCTGTAAAACCAGATAAAGTGAAAGATTGCCAAAAATCAGCACAACCTTTGGGTAACCCCATTTTTCATTTCAAGGTCAAGGCAAAGCATCTTCAAGGAAAGAGTTGCTTTGCTTTTGAGCAAATGAATGAGAGAACGAGAATTAAAATCTTTCTATTATTTCCCAAGGTCAAAAAACTTTCTATCTGTCTCGACTAACCAAGTCAAAAAAAATGCAAGCCAGCAGTTCTTCATCAAGCATATTGCAAAACCTCTCCTTTCCTCTCATCTTCCGAAAATTTCCTTGAACCAAGCTCAATTCACACAGGACAACCCTGATCTCATCCTAGCTTTTCCTCAGATCATCAAACGATTACTTCGGCGACCCAAACCACCCGTCCAAAGGCAGCAATCACTCATCCGCCGATTACGGACAGCTCACTCACCGAAATTGAAGTGTGCGAAAAGAGCTAGGCTCGATCTGAAATCCGACGGAAGCAAAAACGAAATCGGGAAAAAGGTAAACCTGCGTAGGCCTCATGGCGGTCTCGAGAGCCGAGAGGCGGTGATCGAAGGACCCGAGGATCGAGACCATGTTGTCGGTGATGGTCTGGCTCTTCTGCAGCGACTCCCGCATGAGCGCCGCCCGCTCGGTCAGCGGATCGCCGCCCGCCGCCGCCGCCGCCACCGCGACCACCATCCTCGGAGGCTTTGTTCCCTCGGGGCTCTCCCGGCGCCGCACGGAGATAGAGAGAGAGAGAGAGAGAGAGGGAGGAGGTGAAAGGAAGAGAGAGAGAAAGTGCGGTCGGATTGCTTTAGAGAAATGGTTTGGTAGAGGAGATGGGGCAGAGACAGTTCGACAGGATCATGCGAGCTGCTAGCTGTTCCCCCCGAGCCTTTTTGAATATTCGACGCGATGAAAATTCTGAAAAACAAAGAAAAATTCCACGAAAAAGAAAACCTCCCGAGTTCATACGCGGGGTACGTACACCGGTCCACATCAGCTGAAAACACGTTTGATTAGTATTTTTTTTTTTTTTGGTAAAACCGGAAACCCCCGCACGGCCGACAGCCGAGCGCTTAAGAATCCCTAACGCCAGCGCTGGGATTCGAACTCCTACCCTTCGTGGGAGGAGGGGAACCCGAAGCCAGCGCAGCCGCTGAGGGCGGTGGTCGTTTGATTTGTATTTAGTGACTCCTAAATTCGTAAATCATAATTCGCTATTATATTAATAATGTTCATTATATTCCCTTTAATTATGATTTTAGGAGTACTTATAAATTCTAACATTAACATTATTCTTCTCCCCCTACATTTGTCATTGATCAAAAACCGAGCATGTTACGGGGTATCATCACATTACATAAATCGAACAACACAATTGTTATTAGAGCTATATTACCTTACAACATAATGGGTATTACTTTGTCTCGATTACATGAATTTCGTAATTGAGGTCGCAATATGTGATACCACAAGCGATGACCATGATTTGCGTTGACTCAAGCTCACGTAAAGTCGTCTAATGAGCTAACCCAACACTGGTCCCCGGACCTTTTATTGCAAGGGCCAAGGATGACTTGTTAATTGCGCATGCAGTGCCGAGCACAGCACATACTGATGGGTCGTACTCCCTTGCATGTTAGCTTCGGCCCTTTCTTTCACACTAGGGAGTTTTTTCTCCTATCTCCCCTTGAGCCTTTTAAGGACCTGCTCAGTTTCGTTTCCTATGTAATATAATGATGTAAATCTAAGTAGATCGTAGGAGACAGTAAACTAAATTAACTAATAATTAATTTCGACCCCAAAAAAGAAAACTAATAATTACTTATTTTTTTTGGAAATAAGACGGCTACGTTTGCCCTGGTCAAAGAGCGGGCGCGCGGATTGGAGAGGAATTTGTGTTCGGCCTTTGACCGGATCTCCGATATGTACACGAAAGTTTGGGCCCAAAGGGGGCAAAAAAAGTTCAGAAAATTTGGGATGGGCCCACCAGGCCTCATACCAGATAGGCCCATTATAAGAGATGGGCCGGCCCGACATGACCCGTTATCCTGTGGGGCCGTACCACACGACCGTCGTCGTCGCTGGTTAAAACCCTACACTCCACAGAGCTCGGTCTCTGAATCAGCAATGGCGTCACTTCGCAACCACCCGCGACTCCGCATTCCCAAATCCCTCTTCTCCACCTCCGCTCAACCATCTCCTCCGCCGACGCCGCCGCCATTCCCTTCCTTCCGCGCCGTGAAGTCCGCCATACTCGCCGAGTCGAACCCCGACAAGCTCGCCGAGCTGTTCGAGCGGTCCTCTCACTTCCCGACCTTCCGTCGCCACCGGCCTCTCTACCACCTCTCCTTCCAGAAGCTCGCCAAGGCGCGCCGGTTCGACCTGGTCGACCGCCTCGTCCTCCACCAGATCGGCCAGAGCGGCGATTCTCAGAGCTCGCTCAAGTCCGAGGGCTTCTGGATTCGCCTCATGATGATCTACTCGAGCGCTGGGATGGTCGACGAAGCCATGCGGACCTTCGACCGCGCCCGCGAAGGGAAGTGCTGCGATATCACCGAGAAATCTCTCTGCGCCGTTCTCAGCGTCCATCTGAACAACGGATTGCTTGATAAAGTTCACGGGTTGTTCGAGCAGTTGCCGCGCGAGCTCAGGGTGACGCCGACCGCCGTCGCGCACAATCTGGTCCTGAAGGCGTTTGTCAAGGACAGCAACACCGACGCGGCTCGCGCCTGGATCGCGGAAATGGAGGAGAGGTACCAGGTGAATCCCAACATCGATTCGTATAACATTTTGCTTGGTGCTTGCTTGAAGAGTGGGGACTTGAGTGCTTTCGACGGCGTAGTCAAGGAGATTCTAGGGAAGGGCTTGGAGTGCAATGTGACTGCTTATAATCTTAGGATTGCGAGGCTGTGTAAGAGCAAGGAATGCGCGAGGGCGAACAAGCTGTTGGCCGAGATGGTTGCCAGAGGCGTGAAGCCGAACTCGGCTAGCTACGATGCGGTCATCGACGGGTTCGCCAGGCTGGGGGATTTCGAATCTGCTAGGAAGGTCTTGGATAGCATGGTCAAGGACGGGCGCGTCGCGCCTTGCTCGTTCACGTACTATACCCTGCTTCGGAGCATGGTGAGGGAGGGCGAGTTCGAATCCGGGCTCGAGATGTGCAGGGAGATCATCAAGAGGAGGTGGGTGCCTCCGTTCGAGGCGATGCAGGGCCTCGTCGACGGGTTGCTGAAGATGTCGAAAGGCGAGGAAGCTAAAGACATTGTGGAGAAGATGAAGGGGAGGCTTAAAGGGAACTCCTTGGAGTCCTGGGGAAAGATTGAAGCTGCTCTTCCTCTGTGAATTGCGAGGATTCGTCGATGCTCGGGCATCTTTATAATCAGCTGAAATTGATTCAGACTTGACCATCATCAGTTCACGATTTTTTCCGGTAAGGTCCGGCATAGCAATACAACGGAAATTCGACCGCTGGTTGTACAATTCTCGACTGAAATCGACTGTAGAAAAGCTTTAGAGAATCCATGAGCATTGATTGGGGCATTTCTACGAGTTTGATATGGGATGGTCGGTGGTCACCATATGCAGCTTTGAAGCTGCGTCAAGTGTTCTCGTGTCTCTGATGAGTTGCTGAATGCAGGGGCCATTTTAACATTTGAACATTCCCCAAAACGAAGGCTCATGCTGTTGTTGCTTATAGTTGAACTGGTGTAGAATGATGACATACCGTTTGAACAATGCTAATGTTATTTATGTATCATCTACTTATGTTCATTCCTCAACCCGAAAAGGCAAATTCCGGCCCGCTAAGCGAAACCGGTTGCTCAATCACGACCGGCTAAAGTTAAAGTTGAGCGCTCCCATGGGATAGAACTTCCACGGCGAATATATGGTTTTCATGAACCTAATCTTGAGCCCCGCCATTCAAGCACGAATATCTCCATTTTTTTTTCTTGTGCATCACTTCTCTCTTTTATATATAAATGTATGTGGTGTTCACGGCACGGCCCCGGCACTTTTTGGTCTCATCCTCCAATCCCTTTATCAGCAAGGCCGCATGCCTCTTGGCTGAATACCTCCTTTTCAAGAGAACATTTTTCGATGCACAAAATTTCAAATTCGGGCTCTTTCGATGCGAAAGAAATAAGTGTACTCCAAATTCAAGAATTTTTGTGAATGATGAACGTCGCGGAGATTATAGTTCAGTTCGCAACAAACGAAAAAATAGATCTAAATCGTTTGTCCAGGATGAAATGGTTGTTCTCTAGTTTATATAATATGGAAAAATCTACATGCAAAGTGTGCAGATGATAGGGAGTTGTTGGACCGGTGTGAATCGTTGTCACCTCAGCTCCGCAGCAGCTATAAAAGGGCCTTGACGCCGTGACGGGAATTTCTCGTGGATGGCATCGTCGTGCCGGTGCTCGCTTCTCCTCCTGAATCACCACCGCCCGATCCTCCATCATCGTCCCTCCAAAGCTCGCGAATTCTCTCCCGCTTCCGCCTCGCTCCGCCTTCTTCGCTGGCCCCGTGATCTCCCCAAGCGGATTCGCTCCGATTATTCGGGCTCGCCGCCGTCTTCCTCCTCCTCCTCCTCCTCCTCGCCGTCGCCGTCGCCGTCGTCCATGGAAGCTCCTCCCGAAGGTTACAGGCGCAACGTCGGCATCTGCCTCGTCAATTCCTCCAAGAAGGTTTCAATCTCTCTCTCTCTTGTGTTGGATGCGATTTCGTCCGGCGTCGATGTTGTTCCTGATGTTCTGTTTTTGGGGGGGTTTTTGCAGATTTTCGCTGCTTCGAGGCTCGATGTCCGTGACGCCTGGCAAATGCCGCAGGTAAAATTGGTGACCTTGTGGATTTGCTTGCATTGCGCTGCTAGTTAGCAATCGATGACATCCTTCGTTACTGATCACTTGGACGCGTGGGAAGGTCCCGCCTGTTAGGCTGTCCGGGGTTTGGTTGTAGCTTGTGGCCAAGTGCATCCGTGATTGGAATTCGGATTCATCCTGTCGTTTGCTTTATATAAACATTTCCTGACTAGGTCTGAAGCTTTTGCATCTGGGCTATGTTCTTTACATTCAGGGACATTTACCTTAACCTCTTGTCGACATGAGATACAATGTGGATGGTCATTTTTTTTTTTCCTCGTTCGACAGGGCGGAATTGACGATGGTGAAGATCCGAGACATGCGGCCATGAGGGAACTAAGAGAAGAAACGGGAGTCTCGTCGGCTGAAATTTTGGCGGAGGTTGGAAATTGGGGTTTATCTCCTACAGTTCCTTGATTCATTGGCTTTCCTCTATTAATAAGATTGTATACTTTAGTGAAATATTAAGGTTCTGTACTCAGCCATAGAGAGTTATCAGTCAGAAAGTTCTTAGTAGATCTTCCATCTAGAACGTCACCATGTTTGCACAATGGGGGTGTTTTACTTGTCATCTAGAGTTCCGAGTACACATACCTGATGTTTTTCTTTCTCATTTGCAGGTGGTAATAGCTGTGAGTTTTCTTTTTGTTTTTTGCAAGATTTTGATCGTTGGAGCAACTGGTGCTCCTCCTATCCTTAGATGATTTAGAATAACAAGCTTAATTTGCATTAATACTGGCTTAAATTAGGAAGGCCTGATCTCTCTCTATACCCCACCAACCCCGCCCCCGCCGTGCGGGGCCGCTGGCGAGCTTGTCTGTTTCTTGATTTACCTCACTGTTTTGAGAATGGCAGATATCTGATCTGATCTTTTGTGCATCATTAACACATAGGTTTAGATGTGGAATTGCTGTTCTATTCTTCTTCCACGGTAAACTTTACTCTATTGCCTGGACGAATTGTCTTGGTTCTAATATTGGGCGTCCTTTGCAGGTTCCTTACTGGTTGACATATGACTTTCCTCCAGATGTTAGGGAAAAACTCAAAATCCAGTGGGGATCAGACTGGAAAGGCCAAGCACAAAAGTGGTTAGTTCTCCCCCCTCCCTTTCCTTTTTCCCCAGAAAGCGCATTAAAGATGCTTGCACAATAGATGAAGAGGGTAGAGGGCTCTAGAATTTGAGTTGGGGCTTTATTATTCAGTTCATTCGGAAGTTGTTTCTTCTAAAGTTAAGACAGATTGTATCTATACTTCATCAGAGAAGAGATTAAAATTGATATGTTTAATGCTGAGATGGGAAGAGTTTTAGGTCAATGATGTGAAGCTTAGTTAGGTCTGTAAAAGAGGATGGACAACACGGCTTTCCCAAATATGATCGTTTTTTGAGAATCTAGGTCTAATTTGATTATTTGTGATATCTTTGAAGTTTATCTTACGTTAAATCGAGTAATAAAAGCAAGATAGAAAGTTGTAATTATTGGCAATTTCAGAAGACGCCATATAGCCCTCTTTCAGTCGAATTGTTTTCTTTCACAAAACTTTTTGTCATGGTTATATGAAGAGTTCCTCTCATGGAATTGCGATGTAGCCAAAGTCTCAGAGTCAACCGATGGATCCATGTCATTCAGAGTCCCCATTTTACCTTCCCTTAAAACAGCATTATGACAGTTTAGGTCCAACTCCAAGGATACTATATTTTGTATCAGTTGATTTTCTTGCAGTCACATCTTGGAAGAATTAACGCATGAACTCTTAAAAACGATTGCATCTAAGATTAGCGTTTAGTCGTCTTAGTATTACCGAATGCCCTTAACATGTTATGGGGGAAGGATTATGCTGCACCAGTTTTGATTTTCAGCATAAGACTGAATACTGGTTTTCTGTCTCTCCCGTTTCACTCTGCCGTATCATTCTGATTAAAAATTTATCAACCCGGATACTTTGGGTTGCAGGTTTCTTATGAAATTTACGGGGAAAGATGAAGAAATCAACCTCTTGGGGGATGGCACCGAGAAACCTGAGTTTGGCGAGTGGTCGTGGATCTCGCCTGACCAGATAATTGAACTTGTAGGTTCAACGGACTTTTACGCTATTCCGGTTTATATCAGATCTCGGTCTCCCTTAGCAAATATTTACATGATTCCATCTCTGGTGCAGGCAGTGGTATTCAAGAAACCTGTTTACAAGGAAGTTTTGAATGTATTTGCTCCGCATCTTCAATGATGGCCTGCCTCACGACGTCATAGTCACGAGAGAGAAATTGTACAATAACCACCTCCGATCGGATGGATACACGATACTCGCCCACCAATGAGTTTTCACGTATTTACATACCAGCTTTATTTTACACTTGTACGGATCAAGTATGTTTATGAAAGTCCGTCGGAAGGAATGAGACGAGACAGTGCGATTCATTTGTCCTACTCGTGTTGTACCTTTGCTATTGCTTGTTTTAGTGCGAGTAGGCTTGCTCTCGTATCATAACCACCTTAGATAGGGCCAACAAAACTCCATGGTTAACTTTCACCGCAATCCTCGTGAATTGGCTGGTGTAGCATCCGCATGCTATTAAATTTGCAATAACAATTACGGCTACATGCGATATCATTTACAATACTTATGTGGCTTTAAACTTCTGCCATAATTCAGACATGCAGCATGGTTGTGACTGTTCAAGCAAATGATATCCTGGTTAAAGTGCCAAGCTAATTGGGCCCATTATGAACGAGACTCTGGTTTTTGTATCGTCGATGTATATAACCTTTAAAAATACCAAAATGAGATTGAACCATACCAATTGGAACCTTCATATATCGTTAAGATGAGATGATGCATCTTCCCATGCAACGCCATCTACTGCATTCTCATTGCCAGGGTAGATGGTAATGCATATCGGCATTATTACTAATACAAAGACTGCGTTTGGTCGTCCGGATTTCTAAACAGGATAGGACTGGATAGGATAGGATAAGAAATCCTGGGATTTTTTCATATCCTATCCACTGTTTGGTGGACTACGGATTTAAAGTAGGATAGGATAAATTTTTTTTTTTGTTGTTATTCATGGGTCCGGAGGAGTCGGTGAAGGAAAAAAAGCCGAGAAATTTTTTTGGTGAAAGCGCATAAGGTGTTGGGATGAAGATGACGGCGAGTGGAGCGTAGGGTTTCTGGAAAAATAGACATTAGAAATCCTATCCAGGTCTATCCCACCCCCCTCGGATTTTTTTATCCGAGCTATATCCGGTCTATATCCGACCTTATTTGAGATAAAACACAGGATAGGATAAAACATATCCTATCCTGGCTTTTATCCACCAAACACAGGATAGGATAAAACATATCCTATCCTGGCTTTTATCCGGTCGACCAAACGCAGCCAAAGAGAATTCAACTGTCCACGAAATAAGGAAATCAGAGGTCCTGCCAATTTTATTTGAGAATGTACAAGCAGATACAAAGCTGATTGGACTGGGACCTCGAATCAGATACCACTGGTGAAGATTTGTCTCTACATTCTTGACCAGAATCTGCTCAAGCTTGCTTGAATTGATCCATGCGGTTCATCAGTTGGCAAATATACATCGTCATTGAACTGTGAAATTCAGTACATTTAGTAAATATCAGAATGCAAGCATTTTCACGCATCAATGCTTACCAAAGTGTGTCAAGCATCAACCAACATTCCCAACCAAAACATTTCAGGAGAAGCTGACTAAAATCTATTGATCCCTTTACAGGTCTAGAACCTGTGAACTGTACTCAAGCACAAAGGTCTAGAACCTGTGAACTGTTCACTTTCTCCTCTTTATGATTTACATGAACTGACGCAGCACTAACTCCGAACCATGCAAGTGCTTCTAATATTGTCATAGCATACTTTATGTACTTCCAAAAACTTGCAGATCTTGCAGCCTTAAGAAAATTTAGTAATTGGACTAACAAAATGCCAGCATCTTTGTAGCTCATGTGGTGATAAAAAAGTTTGTACTCCCAACTTATCACCGAAATCTTCTCTTTAACCTATTGTCAACTGGTTAGGCCCCTTTTGTGACATATAATCAACTTAAGGTGAGAAAAGTTGAGTCAATTTACTCCTCGTTACTTGAGAGGAACCATATCCTGTGATCTCAAACAAATCATTGTTTCACCAACTTCTCTCACGAGTACTTTTCTATGGCTCAACCCTGGAGACCTACAAATTCAGGATTATAAGAAAAAGCTCATAGTTGCCTAGCATCAACCATTTTCAGTACGCTACCATCCCAGTTGGCCATATCTAACCTTCTTCCTGTGGATGCTAAATATTAGATTTGTTCCCCAAGCTAACCTGACATTGCTAAAATTCTTGCTTGGACATTCTCATTATCCTTTCCAGAAAGAGTGTTTCTTGCAGTGGCATAATATTCGTACCTTCACCATTGATGGATTATCCTTGGTCGGTATGTTAACTGGTAAGAAATGGATATTTGGCATCTTCAATTGCACTGCTGATATGTCAGGAAATCTGAAAGGAAAACAAATCAGCTTGTTAAGCGGAACAACATAGAATCAAGTGGAGAATTTCTTGGGGTGGAGAGAGAGAGAGAGAGAGAGAGAGAGAGAGAGAGAGACCCGGCTAGAACTGCCTTTGCCATTTGATAGAGAGTGCTTTGAACAGATGCACTGTAAACTCCCTCTTTTGGTGAGCCAAAGAAAGTATTCATCAAAACTTTTTTCACATCCTTGTATCTCTCTTGGAAATAAAGAAGATCACGGGGGATGCTGGAGAGAGTATCATAAGAATACCTGCCACCCACACTTATAATAGTGACTTATAGCTTATGACAAACAAATCACCATAAGTCTCCCGAGTCTCTAAATTGAAGGCCACAGGAAAGGGATAAAGTGAAATGCATATATTAATCAACTCTGCCTCTTAACATTCTCTCACAATACTAGTAATAAAAATTCATACCTCCAAGTTGCAGTCACTTCAGTCGCAAGCATTCTTTCTCGAGTTTCAGGAAGAGCTGTGTACTCATCCCTAATGAAACCTTCAAAACCTGACTGTTCACGTGGAAGATAAAAAGGAAGAGTGAGCAGCCATATCAGACTTATCCTATCAATGGAGAAAACGTTAGGTGCACAGGGTCAAGTGCACCCTTTGCACTCCTTGCCCTTAGATAATGTGGGTCCCTCATGGGGCCATCAAGTCCAAGGACTGAGGAAGCATTGGGTGCACTCCCCGCTCTGCACCTAAAAACCTGCCCTATCAATGATGCATCTGCAGATTGTGGATGCCAACTGAGGGGGAAATTCTCGCCTGGACCAGAGCCTACTAGACTGGGTTCATCACAACCGTTGATTTTTGGGGGAACCACAAGATCAAAGGGTGTGATGGATACGGTCCAGTGGACACGGGTTCCTGGAAGAAATTCCCAACGAAGGTTTCAAAACTTGACTTTGCTTCCGGATACTTTGAAAGTTCCCAAATCATCTGAACAGTTTCAGTAGAAATAGAACTTGATGCATTATGTGCTAACAAATAACCAAACATTTCAAGAATGACGAAAGATATGGACAAAAGATCAGATTCTCAAGTTGTGGCAAATTATTGTTACACATGCAATATAGCGAACCTACACTGAACATACATCAAAATTGAATAATACTACAAAGCCTATGTCAAAAGGAAAGGCGATTGAACAAACAATATCAATGTGCCATCTATTTTTTTCATATGTTTCGAAGAGACGAGCTTTCAGATATGCTTTTTGCCATCAGTAGCTCGTAGGTGACAGAATTCTAGACTTAAAAATCGACACAATTCTAGGTGTGATAGGAGAATTTGTACTCACTCCAATAAAAGTATAAGTACTAACATGTTACAAAAGTACAAAGATACAACTTGACCTGGATTTCTGAATTATACCTAGAATGCAGGTAGAATAGCTGCAAGATAAGTTTCAAAGAAAAGAATTTGAACATTACTACAAATCACATGGCATGCAAATGTTTGTTTTGGGAAGAAAAAATGCCAACTTCCCAAGTGATCCTACCATCTCTCAAGCCAAATCATGTTACAAAATTTATGAAAGCTAGCTAGAGCATAGACTAGCTTACCATGGTTGTTTTCAGGACTGACAATCCTGCTATTCCCGAAGTCAATTTTAGAGCACCAGACTTTTTCACAGTTACTTCTGTCGTATGCTTCTCTGATCCAAGTTTAAATCCTTCAGTAAAGTAGAGTAAAACAACATAAGTCCATGGGATTCTGACTTCCTACGTAACAATCTCTCAATGATTGTGGGAACAGCTTAAATCCTATTTAATATGACTTCACCGGAGGATAAATTTAAAATTACAAGTCAGACACTTGTCATAATCACACGGCGACAATGTAGACTAAAGAGAAAAAAACAGGGCAAAACATCGTCTTTTAGTTGTCCGTGTGAATTTGATCAAAAGTTGAAGTGAACATCCTTAATATGCCCAGCACGTGCCAGGAAGGACATAGAGACTACAACCGTAGCTTGGGGGAAATTAACAAGCCCCCATTTTTTCCTCAAAGAGGCACCCTTTAGAATGATAGTTTTGACATCTGAAAAATAATAAAAACACGAACCCATATCAGCCAATGATTGGTGATGCATCTGGTACTACCGCCACAACAATAAACTAAGACTCTTACCTCAGCATCTAAACCTATTGGTCTTTAGTCCATGATAGTATGTCCTTATGTCCTAGTTTTTCTTTAGCAATCAACTGCCGCCATCTGTCGAGAACACATATCTCCACATATTCTGAAACCATCAATTGCCCCTTATGATACAGGGATGTCTCAAAATTGATCCCACATCACTCAAAGTCAAGCCATTGAACCTCTAAACTCTATTACAGATATTCAAAGAAGGTCAATATACAGAAAGGTTTTTATTTCCCCAAAGGGGATTCTGACACACAGAGTCGCAGATAAAGAGGTTCTTATGAGAGCATTTCTTCAGCATTACTTAGAATGATATTGTCCTAAATTCAGAAAATAATTCAAGTCATATGTATAACAAGTCAGGAAACTCTATCAGCACATTTCTGTACAGACAGAACAACAGTACAGAAAACCAAAATAAGAAACATGGTCATTATTAGGCTTTTTATCTAGGCAATACCATTTATTGAATTGATAACTATTCAACACTTTCAATTGCTAAAGATGAAGAGGCCTACCATGTTCATGAGGTTGTCCATCCACATATACTCGTTCCCAAGGCTTCTCCACAATTACGACTACAGCAGCTGTTACCTATAGTCACAAATATACGTAAAAACATCAGTGCTAGAAATAGAGTATCTAACACTGAGTGCTATGAGCTTAATCTGATTGTTTATGCAGACCACTTGTAACAAGTAGAACCACAAACTGTCCCATGAAGCATGGTCAATCACA